CCCGAGACACAAAGGTTAAGTGGCTTGCCGCACACTGCTGGTCCAGCTTCAAGGCCCACACAAGTAATCAAGATGTAGTACATTTATGTACAGCCAAGCACAATCAATAAGAGTGCATCTGAATTCCAAAATCAATCTCCATAATAGTCTATGTGTTTCCTACTGCCAAAGGGGCCCTTTAGAGTAGTGAGAGAAGATCTTCACCCTGAAACCCACAGCGTCCCTTTTCAGCAGGAAGTAGCTAAGAGAATACGCCGGCCGTCCCCTTTTCCTTATGACTCAGGGTGAAGTCTCTCTCAGGGAGGAGTGATAAGGAATGGCAAAGGACACACTGACAAAGAAGATTGATCAGAACTGGCTTTGACAAGCACTGTGGCATTTGGACAAGAACAAACTGGGAGGAGGGTAGAGAGAATAATGCAACAATGAATGAGTGGAAGCCCAAAATCTCTGTAAATGTTTATGAAAATCAATAAAATATAATTATAGAAAAAAAATTTAAATCAAATGAGAAAGAAAGAAAAAAAAAAGATGTAGTACATTTAATGAAGAACAGGTTTTACCTACTATATGAAAGCAGTGTATTCCTATGAAACCTTTCATGGGCAGAAGAGCCATGAAATGAAGAGGCAACTACCATTAATTTGTATAGGGAAACCTTTGAGTATCCCCAGACACAGACACACACACAAATAGTCTAGTACATCATATGAAATATATAAAAACCTGAAATAACACTAACATAGGGTGCAGTTCAGTGCTATGGTGACCCACAAAAAGATCTACATCCTACTTAGGTTGAGTAAGCAAGTGGGACCTTAAAAGCCTACAAATGGCCATTGAAAAAAGCAACATTTGGGGAGGGTTTGTAAAATAATGAAAGAATCTTTTCTTTTACTTTTCCAAGAGGGTAATGTCTGGTGGGGGGGAGCCTTGAGAGGGGACAAATCTACAATGAATGAATGGAAATCCAAAGCCTCTGTAAATTTTCGCTGAAATTAATAACAAATTTAAATGAAAAAAAAAGAATTAAGTTTGAGTAAGGATGGCAATGGAACCACCTTACCTCTGTAACTTGATTTGCGCCACTATTAGAACCTCTACTCAGAATATTATTGCTTTTCAACTTTTGACTCATGCACTTTTAAATTGTTAGTTAAATTTGTATCTTCTAGGCTGCAACACTTCCATGATACATCTTCAAGGATATGAACATGTACGGCTAAGCACAACTGATAACAGTGCATCTAAATTCCAAAATCAATCTCCATAATAGTCTATGTGTTTCCTACTGCCAAGGGGGCCCTTTAGAGTAGTGAGAGAAGACATTCACCCTGAAACCCACAGCGTCCCTTTTCAGCAGGAAGTAGCTAAGAGAATACGCCATCCCCTTTTCCTTATGAATCAGGGAGAAGTCTCCCTCAGGGAGGAGTGATAGGGAATGGCAAGGGACACACTGACAAAGGAGATTAATCAGAACTGGCTTTGACAAGCACTGTGGCAATTGGACAATTAAAACAGACATGGGGGGGGAAGAACAACGAACTGGGGATGAGGGTGGAGAAAACAGTGCAACAATGAATGAATGAAAACCCAAAATCTCTGTAAATGTTCATTAAAATGAATAAAATAATAATAAAAAAAGAAAAAGCAACATTTGCTATCTAGACAGGATCAAGAAATCAAAGGTAAATGAAAGCAATTAGTCTATAATACTAATGGATCTCAAACCTCACAGGACCCCAAGACGAGAAGAATTAAATGTCCAGCTACCACTGCTGCCCACTCTGAAAGGGATCAAAATAGAGGGTGCTGGAAAGAGTGAGAAATAAATGTAAAGGCAAACTAAAAATTACAAAAAGGGCCAGGCATAGGGAGCTCTGGTGGCCTAGTGGCAAGAAGCTGCACTGCAATGCCAAAGTCACACGGCTGAAATCCACCAGATGCTCTGCTGGAGAAAGAGGGGCAATCTCCTGCTGTACCAGTCAGACCAGATTTTAAGTGCCGTCAAGTCACAGAAATCTGGATACTATGTGAACAAGTTCCCCAACAAACTTTCACAGGATGGCTTTATCCATTAATCTGTCAAATTTAGGTGTGTCTGATTCAGGCCTTGGTCTTTTCAATCATTTGCTATGCTGCTGAGAGCTAGACAGTGAATAAGGATGACAGAAAAACTGATACCTTTTGAACGATTATGTTGAAGAAAAGTGCTGTATAACTCACGGACTACCGAGAGAACAAACATATTCTTGGAGGAAGTACAGTCAGATTGTTCCTTGGATGCAAACAGGCAAAGCTTTGTCTCCCATACTTTGTTCATGTTCTTAGGAGAGGCAGTTAGTTCCTTGGAGAAGGACATTATGCTTGGAAAGGTAGAGAGATGGCAAAAGAGAAGACCACCCTCAACCAGGTAGACTGACACAGTGACTGCAGCAATGGGCTCAGCTGTGTCTGAAATTGTGAGGATGGCCCAGGATAGGACAGGGTTCAGATCTGTCGTTCATAGCATTACAATGCACCATACTCGATTTGACAGCACCTAACAACAACAATCTATCAAAATCAATTACTTCATCAGGAGCACCATCAAACTGCTTCATCAAACAAGCAATTTTATAAAACTAGGTTTGGGGTCAAACCTGCAGCCTAGTGGTAAGAAGCTGTGTTGCAATCCCAAAGGCACATGGTTTGAATCCATCAGCTGCTCAGTGGAAAAGGATGGGCAATCTGGTCTTGTGCGATTTAATGCCTCTGAAAACCCACTGAAGGGTCAGCTATGGGTTGATTCTGACTCAATGGTACACAACAACAATGATTAATTTTACCATTTTTAGAAGAGCATTTCCCCAATGAATGTAGATAAACAATAATATCTGCGATGAAAAAGTGGTACTTGAGCTATAGAAACGAGATTAAGTCCTAGAAACTACTGTTCCTTGATAATCTTCAAATATTAAACCAAAATCATCCCAGGAATCCCTCTTCAAAATCTTCATAATGGTTACCCATCCTGGACAGTGTTTGGTGGCGCTCTCAGATTGATTCAGGTTTGGAAACAGAAGCAGGAGTGGCATTCTCTTCCTAAACCACATGCCTCTGGAAATTCTATGAACGTAAATTGTTATAGAATAGGGTTCAGGTCTTTTGTTCATAGGACAGCTATGAGTCATACTTAACAACAACAACATATTTCCCTTTAGGATGGAGTTGTCAGAATGGAACTTATCTTAAACGGAAAAATAAACACTTACTTATAAAACATGTATCTTCACAAGAGAGGAAGACCCTGGATGAGCTGGATTGATTCAGTGACTGGAATAATGAGGATAGGAGTGTCAGAGACAATCAAGTTGGCACAAGATAGAGCAGGTTTCAGGGCTATTGTACATAGGGTCACTATGAGTGGCAATCAACTCGACGGCACATTAACAACAACGGCACATTAACAACAACAACATCTTCAAATAGGGATCTGTGGTAGTCTAGTG